TTATTATAATTTTTAGTAAACAAATTTGATTAAATTTACAATGTTTAAATGATAAAAATATTAAAATTAAAAGTACAAAATGTTCTAATAGAAATTAATGATATTATAATAAAATAATTTTGAAAGTACAATGCTATAATAAAAAATGCCATGTCAGCACCATCATACATGTGGACAGCCTACGTGGATGATAAAGTGACAAAATGATCTGGGTAAATTTAGTTTAAAATGTTACTCAATGTTATAACGGACAAAATTTTGAAAATATGATGTCCTTTGAAAATACATTGCTATAATAAAAAAAAAATTAAAATTAAAATAATATAATAAAGAAATTTATAAAAATAAGTTGCTATTTCTCACATTTTACCCTGTAATCTAAAATAAAACCTGAAAATTAGGAGTAGGAGATTCAATGTAGTCAAAATGTTAAATCAGAACTTACACACTTTGTGGCAGGGTGTCTTAATCCATTCAGGTCTTGCTTAATAAATTGGATATTAATGTTCAACTACTAACTTCAATGATATATTACCCTCATGAAATCAAATTAAAATAAGAATAGCAAAAAAAACATAGTTTTAGATGATGCAGAATGTTAAAAAACATGTGTGTGTTGAAATTTCGTTAAGATATAATGGATTTACTGTATATGATTTGGCTTATTCAAAACCCTGTACATATCTGATATATAATATTTACAAAATGATACTGTCTTTGCTACTATTTTGCTTTTAGTTAGGCTGATATTATATTGCTATAGTAAAAATATGTAAAGATGCGTATTTATAAAAAAAAAAGGATGAATGTAAAAAAGCTGAACGTTTGAATAACCGTTGTGGTGCTTGCTTTTCGTTCTGGGTACTTGACAGTTGGCATCGTATGTAAGTAGTACTCATTTTTTTACCTCGTTCTTCTAATAATAAGATGGTAAATGCAAGAAGTAAATTTAAAGACGAATGGTCGTGTGAGAATAAGAGTTAAGATGAAAAGTATAAAAAAACATTTGGACCCTTGATCACTTTTAATCTCAAAACAACCCATGAATTGCATTTTAGCAAGGAATTGATCCAATGTATCTGATTAGTGTTGATCCAATCGTTCTCTTCAATTATGATTGATCCAAGGATGGAAATTCATTTGCTTTTCTCACCATAATTTACATTCTTATCGGAACCCAATTCAAATTTAAATAACTTATTCTTTTAATATCATGAAGATGACATGTGACAAAATCCAAAAAAGAAATATACTAAGGGGTTGTTTATCGAACACTTACCCATGTAAGCGCTTACCAAGTCACATTACCTTACCGGATGAATATGGCGAAAACCAAGAATCTTACCCGGTAAGGGCGAAGGCAAGGACCGAAAAATCATACCCGGTAAGTGAGAACAACTCTTACCACGGTTAGCGCTTACCGGACATATTATTGCATATGATGCCGTATTGGTGGACTAAAATCTTACCCGGTAAGTAAGTGATAGTGTTAGATTTTACCGGTAAGCGCTTACTGGGTAAGTGTTTGGTAAACGGCCCCTAAGAAAGAAAAATGAAATGTTCAGGTTTTGTCAAAGGGTATGATCATTCGCAATGGTTAATATCAAATTCATAAAAATTAGCATAAAATTTGATGCAAACAATAAATCTTCTTCGATTACGCACATCGACGAATTTTTATGATGATTACGAATGGTCTAGAGTCAATGTAGATGAATCTCCATGGTTTAAAGGATTTTGATAGCGCCGACACTACAATAAAATCGGTTTTGTTGGACGTTAAAAAAAATTAAACATTCAAATAGACTGCTTTATAGGACCAAAAAGTTAAGTGTTTTATCTAAATGTGTTGTAATAAGTTTACAAGACGTTCTTGACGTCTTAACAAATTTTTTAGAACAATTTTAATAAAACGTATTCCACTATAAATTTTATAGGACACTATTTGAAAAACTGTCATATAAAACAAGCGTCCTACTTACTTAACCAAATTATCATTTGAACATAGGATTCTAGTTTCTAAATCCATAATAATCATTTCAAAAGGGTGTTTACAGTTCGGTTCAGTTCACTTAGTAGGTAACTGTTGATAAATAAAAAAACGATAGCATAAATCATTTGCGGTGGTGTGTGGACGACATGCTTAGCGACTTAGGTCGTGCCTAAAGTCATTTGCTTCTATGATTTAGTATCACATGTGATGGTCTTGATGAATTACAATATCACATAAAAAACATTCTTATCACACATGATAATACATGTGAGGGGGCTTAGTGGTGTAAGAGCGACTTGACATGCAACCTAGATTGCGTCAAAAGTCATATGCATCTTTGATTCATCATCACATGTGTATCATCTGTGATGAAATAATAGTATCATATGTGATTGTATATAGTAAAAGTATGTTATTGTATTCTCGTAAAATGAAAGTGTTCTCGTTTAAACTTTTTCATATATATGTAAAAAAAAGTTATTTAAATTGTATTCAACCATTCAAGTATTATCGTCTTGGGCTGCATTGGGCCTGCTTTTTAAAGCGATTGTGTGACCCATTATATCAATTGCTTTTAGAAAAGACCAATTTTCTTCATATATGGGCCCATTACTTACATCACTCACCTTCTTGCCATCTTCCTAAATCGAATCGGAAAGTCATGGGATACGTACTCAGGGTGAGGTTCGCTGCGTTCTTCGCCGGCGCTGCGGTGGCGTCGGCCGGTGGATTTTATTTTCTTCATAAGGATTACAAGGTTGCTCATCAATCTATGTCTCAGCAGGTATTATCTTCGCCTTTTCCTCTTCTTTTGTATCAGTCAATTCTATTACTACCTTTTATGTATTTCCGTATGTGTTGTAGTTTTTGTCTTGAATTCAATGAATCATTATTTAGCATTGTAACATCAATTGATAAATGTAGGTGCTATTTTGGTATGATTGCGTAGAACAAGTTCAAGATCAGAACCCTAGGTAACTGACCAGCATGATGCTTTTAAGATGCAACTGGAGCAAATTTCTTAGGAAACCTCTTGGATTGTCAATGTATTATAAGAGTACGGAAAAAAATTAGAACTTTTTTATGACCAACCGTTGAATTATGTTTTGCATCTTGCTTTAGGTAAATCTTTACAAAGCACGGGGATAGTATGGTATCAGGCAAAATGATTGTGCTTATTTTGGGCCGCGTTCCAATCAATTCTCTTTTCTGATTGATGGATAAATCTATCAAACTTTGTGTGTTCAGTTGCACCTATTAAAGAACATCATGCGTGCATGTACTGCAGATGTAAAGATGTTTTTATCAAATGTAGACAAAAGATGGTCTTGTTGCTCCCTTGCTCAGCTTTGGCCTTCTAGGATGGAATTAGTAAATAATATTGATGATCTGGTGTGGACTAGGGCGTATTATCTGAATGTGAGAAGTTTATGTCATTAGATATAACATTTATTAACACATGAACTTGGAGGAAGTAAAATAACAAAGATCATTATTTTTGTTTGAAATCCGATTATAATGAGTTTCATGGCATTGCAAGGTTTTCTTTCTTCTTCCTTTTCGTTTGATAAAATAGTTGTATTATGAAACTGTTATTGGTGTTTTAAGTAACGCTTGGTGAACCAATGGAAGTGTATTGCTGAAACTTTATCCTGCAATGGGAGCTTATTGATTGCTTTAAGGAACTAAAAAGTTACAGAGCTTGCAGCATGCAGTAATTTATTAGTGGTTCTGATGCAAATCTCAATGGATAATCTGTTGAGATCCAACAACAGTATGGGTAAACAGGTCCAAGAAAACTGAAGTTCAAATTGTGCTAGGTATAAGAAACAAAACCTTGAGCCAATGATTATAGTGGAATAATGAACCCACAGTAAACAGTTTGAACACCACAAAGAGAAATCCTTGATGAATTCAAAAGTCACAAAAAGAAATCCTTGATGAATTCAAAAGTCACAAAGAGAAATCCTAGATGAATTCAAAGTTCGTTGAAGAACCAATAGGAGAAGCAAAACTCGTTTTCTCAATAATAGATTTCGTGCCGTCCTTACATTGTGCCATGCTATTTATATGCATTGTGCCATATCTATTTAGACTCAACTGTTTAGTCTTGACTGTAGTTGATTGGTCTGAGTTAAGTCATGACCCATGTGGCATGATACGTTAGAAGTTTAGATGGAGGTTCTCTCACCATGTGTGACACTCTTAATTTCCAACACTTTTTAGTCACTTCAAGGCATTTCTCTAACAGAGATAGATTATGTTATTGAGCTCTATAATGGTAAAATATAGAGTAAATTATAGAAATCGTCCCTGCAGCATATATTAACAGGCATGTTTGGTCACTTGACTTCTTAAATTTGCACTTTGGTCCAAAAAGCTCAAATTAACCAACACATTTGGTCCTCCATGATGGAACCATTATTCTGGTGCGTGCATGGCAAATGAGCTGTGACTTAATGTATATCAAACTACGACATTTATTTTTATAACTAAATGGTGTATGCATGTATGTGTGCATACTGTATGTATGTATATTATGTATATATGTATATATTAGCTATGCATATACATTAGCTACTTCTTTTACTTTAAAAATGCTCCCAAGATGAAAGTAATAATGTGTGACTTGATTGTTGGCATTGTTATCATTGCCATTAATTTCGTATACCTTGCACACAACAGTTATTGCTGATTTGCTATATATGAATGTTTTGCTTTCTGCAAAATTGTATACATAGCTAGCAAATTAATATTGTTCAATGTGGTAGCCTAGTGGTCAGTCATCTGTCTTGCCCATGAATATGCAGTCTCTGGAATTAAATGTTTACACTCCCATCCAATGCAATAAAATAGATAACTAAGAAATTGAAAAAAGTACATGTGCGTGAGACTGAGTATGTGTATCAGTGTATGTACATCTGCGTAGGATCTCCTGTATACATGGTGCTAAATGGTTCATATATACCTTCAAACATGGGCCATTTAAGATCTTATTTGGTGGTTCACATAAACCTGTTATGTGCAAGCCAACTTTGCCTGTGTACAAATTCAAAATTTGGGCAATCTGGACAAATACATTTGGTGGCCTTGGCCCATGTGGGATTATATGCATATCTCAAGAGTTCTTTCATATCTATTGTTGACACAAACACCTACTGAACCAAAACTGAAATGTGTTTGAACCACTGCTAGCCAGTGCATCTTTTGCAGTCAATATCCACTGTATCCAACATAGTGGATGAGAATCCTCTGTGATGTGCTCATCTTAAGTGAGCTAACAAGTTATTGTAGAGACTATTGTTTACGTCTTATTTCCCGTGGTGGTTGAAGTTTCATAGATACAAAATTGCTACTTATCATGCAGTATTGCTCATTTTAAGTTTGTTGTATAAGAGCTATGTAATTCTAAGACTAGACTTTGGCATTCTCAGCTAAATGAAAATGCTGTTTTCCATATTTTTATTGGTGAAATAAGAAGCAGTTCTATAGGAGAGATGTTAAACGATTTAATTAGTTCCACTTGTGGTGGTGTATGGTTTGCATTTGAATCTCAGTAGATGAATTTAATCACTACTCTGGTTCTTTGTTTACTGGACATATCAAAGTGTTCTAGTAGCTATGATGAACTGAATTTCTTCTCTTTTTTCAATCATTCATTTCTTTACAGGGCATAAGGTCAGCATTGACTTCAAAATGTCAATTCTAATTCTTCTCCTTTGCAGTGATTGTTTTATATTACTCCCTAGTTCTTATGTCCATAATTAGAGTCCACTTTGTGAAGTTTTTCTTCACAAGCCGGGGGTCTTCACAGAAAAAGCCGCTCTACTCCTTGAGGTATAGGTCAGGGTTGCGCACACCCTACCCCCCCCCAAAAAAAAAGACCTCACCCCCTTGGTGGGATATACTAGGACAGTTTGGTTGGTTTGGTTTGGTTTTTTGAAGTTTCTTTGTCCCTTGAAAGCAGTCTCATTTTGTGTAAATAACTTAATGTACTCAAGTCTTTCCCTTGCAACCACAACATTCCTTGATTCTCCCAGCTATGAAGATTGATTATCTTTGTCTTGAGTTTAGGTTCACCCATATGTTCTAAATACATTGTAGTTTCTCAACGTTCTAGTCCTTCCTTTTTTCAGGTTATTTATTCTTCAAATCATATGATCTGTACACCTATATCATTATATAAACTCCGTTATATGTATAAAATATTTAAATGGGTGACCGACAATTTTGTATGCAAGGGACCTAAAATTTCTATTTTGTTATTAAAGCGTTCTCTCTGACCGTGGCCTCCTAAAACACCATCTTTGCTTTGTCCACAACAATTGTGGTGATCATCCCATCAGTTCTCAGAGCTCATTCTTTGAACATCAAACTTACATGGAAAATGGTTTCCTGTGGCATCTTAAAGAGTAAAGTACATTGCAAAATCTTAAGTGACAATCTAGTCAATCTAGCTAAGGCAGTCTCAAGAATACTCCACCGAAGTGGGAGACTTGGCTGCAGCATCTTCTTTGGTGAGCCAGAGCATTAATTGGTGATATTCCAAGTGGATGTTGACCAACTACAACAGTTACTTGACCTTGGGGTAATGGGGCAGATTCCCCCCCCCCCCCCCCCCCCATCTTCTCTGCTCTAGGGCATGATCTGCATCATTGGTAAGCTAAGCTTAGCATTTACGGAGTTGTCTCTAAAGGGTCATCGATGTGCACTCACATTCCTTATGTTCATTTTCGGCTTAATAGTCCTCACTACAACAAATTCGGGTTTATAGGACATCAAAAATATCAGAATGTTTTAATAGACTACTGTATAGGACTTACGTTTTAGGATCAAACACCTGTGTGCCTTATTTAAAGGTGTTGTAATAAGTTTATATGATGCTTTTAGGCGTATCTAAAAGCTTTTTAGGACACTTTTGAAACAAAGTGTCTTCTTAGCCCTTTTATAGGACCCTATTTGAAAAGGTGTCTTATAAAACAAGCTCCTAAAAAAGACACTATCTGAAAAGGTGTCTTTTAGGACACTTCTGGTAAGTGTTGTATAAAAGGGCTAATAGGACACTTTGTTTCAAAAGTGTCCTAAAAAGCTTGTAAAAACGCCTAAAAACGTCTTATAAACTTATTACAACACTTTTAGATAGGACACACAAAGGTTTGGTACTATAAACTTAAGTCCTATAAAGTAGTCTATTAGGACACATAAATGCTTTTACCGTCCTATAAACTCGATTTCGTTGTAGTGCCTATCACACCTAGTTTCGTAAGATTAGTTATTTATACGTCTTACTCTCTTTCTAGTAGCAACTAAACTAAATACATATAGGAAGTGTAGGAAAATTTCAATGGGCTTATGATATGTCATGGTTCCTGGTTCCTCTGCCACCCAATGCAACAAAATTATCATGGTTCTATGTTTTGGTAATGCAAGGTTAAACAGCAAAATGTTTAGAACATTTCAAAAGATATCTCTCATTTAAGTGGTCACTTCAACTCAGTGTGTTTCATTAGTAAACACTATTATGCTGCCTTTTGGGTGCTTTATTTTCTTTTTCCTAGCAGACTGGCCTTTTGGTTAATTTGTGTAACGGACCAATGAAAAGAATACAGTTTCCTTTTGCTTGAAGTAAGCATTAGTGTAGGCAGTTACAGCATGAGTAGTAAGATATACGGGGAGGACACCCTTCAGATGGAGTATTTATGACATTGAATGGATTGTGAGTACCTTTAATCCTTCAAGCCAGTTATTTGATATTATGTAGGATACATGGCATTTATCTCTCATGGCCGATATTTCGTATTTCCTCATGCCTTGTGTTATTTTATTGGCTATTGGTTTTAAAGTTCTAACAAGTTGTTATATATCCATGGCGATCTAGATGAATGACCTTTATAAATCCTTGGATGGACGCATCTCTACATTGGAACATCTTAAAGAAGTTGAAGCAGTAAAGCCAGTTGAAGGTGCAGAATAAGGAAGTCCGAGCATCTGCTCTGAAAGTTTTTGAATGTTGTAGTATGGTATGTTACATTATAGTTACCTTTTTATGTTTATGGAATTGATGATGGTGATGGGTACATGCCATTTTTGTTTTTATCCAATAACCGGCACGGATTAGGTCAGATTGAAGCATTCTGATGCATATTTTACCAGGAATCTCATGATCATATTATGCTTGATCCTTAATTTGCTTCCCTTCCAAATCTCCTTGTTTTGCTTTTGCTTTAGCTTTAGCTTTTGCTTTTGTTTGCAAGTTGGGGTCTTCAAGGGAACAACCTATCTATCCTCTTGGTTAGAGGCAAGACGTGCGTATGTCTGAACCTTGACAAGAGACCCTACATCTGAGTGAGATTTATTCGGTTCGTTTGTTTCGTTTAATCTCATGATCGACATGTTCCATATACTTGTATATCATCGAGTGGTCTGTCGGGGGACTTGTGATACTGTTGGTAGTTTTGGACATTTTTTATCATTAAATTAATACCTTGAGTGACCCAGTATCTCAATTCCATCTAGCTGGCATTTGTCTGGATTTCCATTTCATGTCTACACTCTACACATGTGGGCTATCGATCGAGGACTCAGGTTGGCCACTAGGACTATGACCAGTGTCGTCCGTAAAAAACTTGGTAGGGCTGATAGTTAGTTGAAATCACGTTATGCCATCTAGCGCTTCGTATCTTTTTACTAGAATTTGCTTTGGACCACTTGGAATGACCAGCCTTTCAATTGAAGTAACCTTCGGATTAAGGAAGCCAAAACCGGAACAACCATTATGATAGATTACATCTTATCGATATCCTTTGATCCTAAATCCCTTTTTACGCAATGGAGGAAAAGATGGAGACAAAATACAAAAGATAGAACAATCCATGTGGTGTGGTATGGCATGGCCTACCAGCTATATATATATATGATCCCCTTTTCATTCCTTCCCATAAAAACATAAACAATCTTAACAAACATATAATGGCCTTACTATCTTTGTACATATGATTCATCACAACCCTTGATTAGTTTCGATAAACCCTAAACTCTGAACCCTGAACAACTTGTTAAACTCTGAACCCTGAACAACTTGTGTGGAGAAAACCAGGATGTAAAAGATAACAAGTGATTGCCATTAAATAAAGAAGATGGGCATGTGATGTCTGCTCTTTCTTTTTACAATCACCATCCATCACTCGCATAGGTCCCTCCCTCCCTCCCTCTCTCAAAAAGCATATTAATAAAAAGCTAGCCAGGTACACAAGGAACACTATATATATATATATATATAATATATATATATATGTGTGTGTGTGTGTATGTATGTATATATATATATATATGTATATATTAATTTAAAGAAGAAGAAGAAAAGGGTATTAAACATCCATAAGAAAAGAAGTTGATGGAGGAGGAGATGATGGTAACGATGATGATGATCAATAGAAGAACATCCACCTTCCATGAAATAAAGGATAATTCTTTCTCTACCCTCATACCTACCCCTACCCCTACCCCTACCCCATCCCCAACCTGGAAATTGTACGAAAATCCATTCTATACTTGTCTTCAAAACCATTATAATCATAATCAAGAAACAGAAGAACAAGATCAAGATCAGGATCAAGCAGAAGATCAGAAGAAGCAAATCCATCTTCTTCATTTTCCAGTCTCAACTCGCAAGATTGCAGCATCTTTCTGGGATCTTACGTTCATCAAGCCATTCATGGATTCGGAGCTTGACACAGCTCGATCGCAGATCATGGAGCTGAGAGCGCAGCTTGACCACGAACGTAGAGCTCGTAAGAAAGCCGAATCCGTCAACAAGAAGCTGACCAAAGAGCTGATGGCAGAGAAGAAAGAAAGAGAAACATTGGAGAAAGTATGTGAAGAGCTGGCTGCAGAGATAACATCCAATAAGACAGACATGAGCAGGTTGAAGATGGACATGGAAGAAGAAAGAAAAATGTTACGTGTGGCTGAAGTATTGCGAGAAGAAAGGGTCCAAATGAAACTCAATGATGCCAAAATCATGTTAGAAGAAAAGATTTCAGAATTGGAGATTTCGAGAATGACCCACAACAATCATAATCATCATTATCAAGAAGAGAGTAATCGCAACGTCATATCTGGGAATTCACTCAAATTAGAGCCTGAAAACCACCATATAAAACGTGGAATCAGAGGGTTTGTGGAGTTCCCGAGAGTGGTTCGAGCAATCGGGTCCAGGAGCAGGAATTTGGGTACGAAACTGGAGTGTCAGAAGGCTCAACTCATGATACTGCTGAAACAAAAGACACAACTCCAGTCCAACAGTCTTATCATGAGTTAAGTTTGATCATTTACGTACATTATTACTCTTCTTTTACTTGTGTTATATTTGGTTGATTAGCGGTAACTCCAACCGATCCCACACGAAACCAACCATCAGACTAGCAAGATAAGTGGAGGGATTCAACCTTTTACTTGTTATATTGAGATATGGTTTTTGTGGTGATGAAGTAATAATGGAGACATTTGTGAGTTTTGATGTGATAAGGAAGAAATGGTGTGGTGTGTTGTGTTGTGTTGGTATTTGGGAAATGGTGGTAATGATTCAAGGGTCATCTGCACATGCATGCTTCGCTTTTACCTCCTCAATTTTAATGGTGGACCTCTCTTATCATCTTCATTATAACCATTTTCTCTTTTGCATGTGGACATATGTGTGTATGTACATGTATATGTATATACATATATATATATATATATATATGTTTGTGTATATGTATATGTATAAAAGTAGAAAAGAAACAAGAGGGAGGTAGGGAGGTAGGGGACATGCATGGGGAAAAAGGGAAATGTAAGGTGAAAGGAAAGTGGTGTTGACAGGTAGGGAATTGAAGGCCAGCAAGCAATTACTCCATCATCTCTTACTTCTGAGGAGATGCATCTGTCTACATCCATCTCTCTCACTCTCTAATCTCTATACATACATATATATATATATATATATATATATATATATATATATGCATACATACATATATAGAGAGTATCAATATTTGAACTGTTTCCTAATCTGAACTGTTAGCTCATAATTAATGAACTCTAATAATCTTTTTAAACGTTCTTATCATAATAAATGAACCTCAATCATTTTCCGAAAGTATAGGTTTGTATTAATTTGGAGGCCTGCAGATGATTCTCTCTCTGTGTATATACATAGGGGTAAATCCATTACGAACCTCCTTTTCTAGGAGCCGGGGGATTATTTACAACATGACGCCCGACATATTATCAGGAATAGGAATATGTTATTCAAAATGAATTAATATACTTATTATAAATGTATAATTCATGATGAATAATACGTCCATATTCGTCATGAATATTTATCCTCAAGAGGGAACGTGGTATGTTATGGGTGATTCTTGGATTCCTAATCAATATTGGGTTTACAATGGAGTTTCAAGTACAAATCATGTAAATTATTATAAATCATAGAAACCAATCTTAACCGTCCATTTAACCCAATGAATATTTAGTTTTATAAAAATTTTGATCATTTAATAATAAAAAACAATGATCATAATAAATGAAATTCTATCATATTCCAAAAAATATTAAGAACATGATGAAATTGAACCATGATAATCTTTCATACATCTGTCAATTACACAATGTAAATACAAGATAAGTGTTGAATTTTAAAAATACAAAAAAATACTTCATAAAATTAAGGGAAATTAATAAAATAGTCAATTAAGAAAAAATAATTAAAATAATAATTTTTACCCGTTGGTTTCACCTTTTAGCCGTTTCTTTACAAAGTTTACCAAAATAGCCCTAGGTCCGCAATTTTTTTTTGCGTACCTGGAGAAAAATGTAATATTTTTTACGGACATGGGTAGAAAGTGAAAATTCTTTTGTTTTTTAGCTAAGTCTGCAATTGCGGACGTGAGTTTTGCAAACCTATGACTATTTTGATAAACATGGAGAAAAAATGACTACGATGTGAAACAAATCCTGAAAAATGACTATTTTAATTAATTTCTCTAAAATTTATTACTATTAGAAAACTCTTTTCCTCTCTCAAACCACCATACAAATACAAAAAAGGAAATCGAGGAAAACCAAATAAAAACATATTGTACCGACATTCATGAAAATATATATATATATATATATTATATATATATATAGTTCGTTTCAAATACAACTCATCGCATTTATACAACCAATACGACCTAATAAATTGATATATTTATGAAAATAATGAGAGTTCATTTATTATGATTTGAATATTTATGAAAGATGAATATGGTTTATTAATTATGATCAATACTTTATATGGAAATGATGAGAGTTCATTTATTATGATTTGAATATATATATATATATATATATATATGTGTGTGTGTATATATATATATATATATATATATATATATACTTGAGATCATGTGAGATCAAGGGTTTTTTGTGATATATATAGACTTGAGATCATGTGAGATCAAAGATTTTTTGTGAGACCCGTAAGACCAACTCTCAACCCTTTGATTAAATCTACAATCTAACAATCTGAACATTCATAAACGCCATGAGATTTCTCAATAATCACAAAATTGTCACCGTGAACCATTAGATCATTAGCTTATAAAGTTGATCAATGAACATAAATTGGTCTTACGGATCTCACGAAAAACCATTGGTCTCACAGGACTCCAACCCTATGTGTGTGTATATATATAATATGTAACTAATGATCGTTATTTTAAAAAAAATGAAAATATATTAAGATGGGTACCGATGATTAATTAAAAGAAATCAAAACATTTTCTCGTTTTTCCTTTTTAATTAATTCTTTTTAAAAATATAATTATTACCCAAGCACGTATTGAATATAAAACCAAATAAAAAATTAAATCATGATGAAAACAATTATTTTTGTTTATTTACTTATATATATTTTCAATTAAAAAATATTAAATTTATAAAATCATTAGGAAAGAGGGTAGATTTCTGAAATGTAAAAAAGAGTTGATGCTTATAATAAATAATAATTACAATCAAATTTAAGGTGTGTTAAAAAATGTTGAGATTTACCAGTAACTCAAGTATCATTGAACTAATCATACTTTTGATATTATGAAATAATCATCGTAATCATGTTTAATACATTAAGAGGCCGTTTACCAACACTTATCCGGGTAAATGTTTACCGATAAAATTCAAAACTATTAGTTACTTATCGGGCAAGATTTTAATCCATCAAAATGGTATCGTATACAACAATTAACCCGGTAAGTGGTAACCGTGGTAAGAGTCGTCGCCATCACTTACTGAGTAAGACTTTCAGTCTTTGCGTTCGCTCTTATCAGTAAGATTCTTGGTCTTTGGCATATTGATTCAGTAAGATAATATGATTTAGTAAGCGCGTTTAAAAAATTCCTGATTATTTTAACATAACCCTTTTTGACATAACCCTTTTTGACGCAAACCTGTCCTTGATTTGCTCTCTAACCTCTTAGGCCCATTTATACCATCTTTTCACTTGTTTACTTAATAGCATGTACAATATTTTTCCATCAACATTATATCAGTTTTTGTAGCATATAATTACAGAAAAAAGAATAAATATAGTGATAATTTAATTATTCATCGTCGTAGTAAATATGAGAGAAAATATCATTTCTTTTGCTCGAAGGTAGATAACCAGAGATGCACAAATTGGGTTGGGGTCGTGTATAAGCTCAAGTTCAACAGTAAAAGCAACGGTTGAAGTGAGGATGCGGTCAAATACCAGTCCAAGTCCAAAAGATTGATCCATCCTTGTTTCCGAAAAAACCTTAATTACACCTGATATTTATTAATTTTTTTAAAATAAAATCTGATCAAAGACTCGAATAAAAGTCGGGTCAAAGTAGAGTTTTAACGTTTTATATTAACGCATATTAATATTTTGTATATCATTTTTATAAAATAATCTCTTTTTACTCATAAAATATCTATAATTGAGTCACACTCTATTTGGTTATTAATATATTTAAGTATTTTTATTAAATATTTAGAAAGAGTTAATTTATTAATTCAAAGGTTTTTCTTTTAATTCGAAAAATTTGTACTTTCACGTATAAATTTAACCCATGTAAGTGCTTATAAAGTAACATATCTTAACGGATGAATATGACAAGTATCAAGAATTTTACCCGGTAAGAGCAAAGACAAGTACCAAAAATCTTACCCGCTAAGTGAGAGCGATGACTTTTACTATGGTTAACGCTTATCGGGTAAATTGTTGTATTTGATACCATTTGGTTAATTAAAATCTTACCTGGTAAGTAAGTGATAATGTTGAATTTTGCCGGTACGCACTTACCCAGATAAGCGTTTGATAAATGACCCATATGATAATTGAAAACTATTTGTAATAATTAAAATTGAGTTGTATTGATTTACCATTTATAAATTGACTTTATTAGTTTGTAATCAAATTTTAGGGGTGTTTTTATAGAAGTAATTAATGAGATCGAAAACAAAAGAAACCGATTAATTTTATATAATATAATGGGCCAATTTCTCTATAAGCCCAAATTTTCATTAGGGGAATGCAAATCAGTTACCATTTTCACTCCTGTCTGAATCAAACAACCTCTAAATTATATCTGGTTTATGTTTTTTCAATTAATTAGAAGTGAATGGAGCATGATAAATATTGATTTTGAAAACAAAAGCTTAAATCTTCAATTCTGATTCATGTTTCATTTATTTGTCACTATCAAGTTTATTTTAAGGGTTTGTGTGGTTTTTTAGAGATTGAGACAGTTTTCGGTTGATTACCAGTTTTATGTTTATAATAGTCGGTTTCTATCATTTATCTTATATTTAAACATATTTATCATTTAGTTTTATATAATTCAAACGAGTTTATCAGTTAGTTTTATAGGGTTCAAACGTGAGATAGAAGCCTGGAAAAAAAAAACAAAGAATCCATCAAAACCATTGGATTGAGATGATCCAACGAATATGATTAAAAAAATGGTTATAACCATCTTTAAAAAAAACAAATATTTCCCCCATAATTTTTAAATCAAAATTCAGAGAAATACAACAAATATTGAAGCGAAACAAATTACACAAAAAAACAATTTTTAAACAAATACCAGTTACAAAAGAAATTATTAACTATAAACGGTCTAGATCCAAGAAAAGCTTTGCATTATTCGTGTCCATCTATTAATCTTAACCAATTGGTTTGGATTGGTCCAAATTCTTAAAAATGATTGTCTAAAGTCTAACCTGTTTTTCTATCGAGTCAAATGAGACATCTGCGTACCAACATGGGATTCCAACGGTAAAGGGTTGTCTATTTAACGCTTAACAGGTACTATTTACCTTATCAAATCTACATGATAAGTATGGAAAATGTTACCTGTTAAGAGATGTAATATGGTAAACGAGGACAAGATTCTTATTCGACAAACGTTTACTCAGGTAAAAAGACGCTTACCAACAAACTATTTTCATGAACAATAATATTATTCGATAAAATAAATAAGAGTGATGACTACTACCGGTAAACGTTGGTAAACAACCTTAAATGAGAAACATGTCGGTAACCATTCGAAACATTTTAAATCCAAACAAGGTGGTTGTTTTTTTTTTTTTTTTTTATCATTTCATTTCCTAAATTCAAAACCCAATCATTCAAACCGACTGAATATGAGTAACCAAAATCCCAAATAAATACAACCTTAAACCGTTCTAGACATACACCCTACAGATTCGAGTTTTCGTATTTTCTTGAAAATGAGTTGCTATGATTATGATACGAGAGGTGATAATGGCGGGTATCAAGAGCCTGCATCGGAATGTAACGTTGGACTAGGTTTAAACATGCAATACCTCAATAAGAAGACCAGTTTCAACCATCCTCAGTATCGATCTTCTGCAGAAATTGACGGTGGTAATGGTGGCAGCAGCAGCAGCAGCAGCGGCCGCCGGCTGTTGGACAACCGAACGGATAGTTGCAATCAAATTGCATCTGGGACTTGTTTCAATTTCATTACAGGTCTTAAATCTAACATCTTTCTGTATCACTTTCTTTTGTATTGTTCAATTTAGGATCGACTCGAATTCTTGTTAAAAAGGTTACCAATTGGGGGTTGATTTTGTGAAACGCAGGTGGAGAAATGGGGAAAATGCTTTTCACAGCTTCTCAGTGGAAAGAATTTGAGAGCCAAACGATGATCTACAAATACATGATAGCTTCCATTCCTGTTCCACCTCAGCTACTCTTACCTTTATCCGTTCAATCCAACAGTACTTTCTTTAAATTTGCCCTATTTCTTTTCTTATAATCAAGATTTATTTGAATCTTTAAATGTTTTTTACTAAATTTGTTGTGTGGTAGGGTCGGGTACTGACTTGAGGTTCTCAAATGGGTCGGATCCTGAGCCATGGAGGTGTAGGAGAACCGATGGGAAGAAATGGAGATGTTCAAAGGATGCAATGCCTGACCAAAGGTACTGCGACCGCCATGCCCATAAGAACAGACCTCGTTCAAGAAAGCATGTGGAAACTCAATCCCACAATACCAAATTACCATCCAATCCCCTTAGAAACAACCATAATTACCATCCTATCCTTCCTCCTGCTCCCAGTATGCCGCCTACTACTTCATGTCAACAATCCAGGTGGGTGTTTTTGGGATTGACATTCATTTCATCTTCATCTGTCATTATAGTAGGTCTTTAATGTTCTCTGGCAATCTTAGGACCCCAAACTACCTATGTTCACATGTTTATTGGTTTTCTTGTTCTTATCTACAAATATGTCATGTGGGTCAACTCCCTAGCTTCTGAGTTCTGTCTATTTTGTTTTACTCAATTTATTGTGGTGGGTGCTTTCTGATTTTGGTGCGTGTATGTGTGTTATGATTGCAGGTTCATGAAGAGTGACGCTATCCCTTTGTCTTCATTAAACCAAAAGATTCAGAAACCAATGGTTTCACCAAGTGTAGGATCAAAAAGGGACCACTTTTGTCATCAAGATCTTGAGGGAAATCATCAAGATGATTGCTCTCTTGCTTTATCAATGCAATCTGGTGGAAATGATGTATCTGAGGATCAAGATTTCTTTCAAATGGGTATTGGAATGTTGAATGCAGATGGTTCGAACCCACCTAACCAGTGGGTGAACCAGGGTTCTTGGTTGGGAGGCCCCTTAGGTGAGGCTTTGTGCTTGGGAATTGCAAGTACACAAAAACAACCTCCAAATGTTTCATCTCTTAATGGCCATAGCAATCAAGAATGAGATCATGGAGCAAAAATGTTTAACTGTTGCCTTATTTCTGAATTTAGTTGGTTTGACCATAATGTTTTAGATGCACATATACAAATCTTTATATATATATATATATATGTATATAATTGGTGGGATTCATTTTGAATTTTGGCCTTGGAAGCCAGCTAGTTCCTTTTGTAGCTCTTCTTTTTTGTCTCTCTAAAAATACATTGTATTCAAAATGGAAAGCATGAAAGGTTCACTTTAGTCATCTCATTCAAAATAAGATCTGGGCGCCAAAACAGAGCCCAAAGCCAGATTTGAAATTGAAATAACTGTGCCATCATTACACACTTTTCTAAGTCTTCATTTAATTTCTCTGCGAACCTCACGAATTTGGGATTCTTTCTTGCTTTCAATCTTTGGAGATGGGTTGTGCATCATCGCATTTTCTAAACCATGATGAGGATTTCACCCAAATTGGCAGCTCAGCCTTGGGCCACCATATCGTCTCTCTAACTTCCACCACTTACGGCCTCTTGACGCTTGACCCATCTTCCTCCAAAACCACCGTCTCCGCCACAGCTCCATCCCGTGCCACCCTCCTCTCGATCTTTCCCACACCCGTCTCTGAACCCAGGTCTGAACCCCCACCGGAAGTCATCAACTCATGGGAGCTCATGGCCGGTCTTGATTCCACCATTGAAAGCTTCCGTCTTTACCCACAAACTTCTAAATCCATCCCCTCCAGATACACCCTCGTTGATAAAGAAAACCTGAACCCAAATCAAGAGAACTCGAATCTTGATCATAAAAATCCGATCTTTGTCAAGTCCGTAGCATCTAAACCAGTTTCGCTAGATGAATTTGAAGAACTGTGCCCACCGAAAGGGGAGAACAAGGTGGTGATTTATACGACGACACTGAGAGGGGTACGGAAGACGTTTGAGGCATGCAATGCGGTGAGAACGGCGATGGAGGGATATGGAGTTTTTGTTTGCGAGAGAGATATATCCATGGATCAAGGTTTTAGGGAAGAACTGAGAGAGCTAATGAAGGCTAAAGATAGCAGTGAGTTGGTGCCACCAAGGGTGTTCGTAAAGGGAAGATACATGGGTGGAGCTGATGAGGTTCTGAAGACGATGGAAGAAGGGAGTTTGGGACGATTGCTTGAAGATTTACCTAAATCAAAAGCTGGGTTCGTCTGCGACGGTTGTGGTGGTGTTAGGTTTCTGCCCTGTTTCAGCTGCAATGGGAGTTGTAAGGTGGTGGTGGTGGATCGGAATAAGGAAGAGGTTGGTGGAGAACGACGGAAAAGGGTGGTGGTTCGATGTGGTAACTGTAATGAGAACGGACTTGTTCATTGTCCAATTTGTAGCTGATCCATTATCATCCATATCTGGTTTCGAGATTCACAAATCCTTTATGGGTTCACATCAACGGTTAATTAGTATAATTAATTGTTGTAGTGGTTTTAATCTGTAATCGTTGTTGACTTGCTCCTATGGAACCAAGATCGAAAAAATCAGTCATTCACAACCACGAAGGGTTGGTAGAGATGCATCTGTAAAATTATTGAGGGCAATAAGAAGACAGTATGTGCCATGTGAATCAAGTACTGTAATGATTCAGATGAGGCCAAGTTCATCAGGTTTAAATTCAAAGGAAATTTTGAAAATGTTGTCTCAAATATTAAGATATGATATGATTTAAGTTGATTTTTGTGAGTAAATTATGCCGTTGGTCCCTGTAGTTAGCTCAAAATCTAGATATGGTCCCTCTTTCAAAATAAGGACACTAGACGTCCTTGTGGTTTGCATTTCGTAACAAGTTGGGTCCTTGAGACTAACACTGTTAGATCCAATATGTTGATATCTTTGAATTCAACGTCTATCAGTGTATCAAATTCAGCAACGATGATGTTGTCTGGAATACCCAAATACCCTCTGGCGTCCCTAATGGTTTTGTCGTCTAGCGATATTACAAAAGCCTAACCTCCACCAACCCCCAATCTAGGTTTAAGTTGGCGACATAGAATAAGAAGGAATTGGTGAAACTTGCTGGAATTCCGATTCCAGACTGATTGACCTGAGAGGTACGCTTGATCTGTGTATGTTTTGGGATAATTAAGTTGCAGATATGTATTATATATATATATATATATATATATATATATATATACTAGTTGTGTATCCGCGCAATGCGGCGGGAGCCGTGAATTTTAACGATTTTGAAGTTTTACTGGTTTTATTAGAGAAGATTTAACGATAATATAAGTTACACTTGGTATTTACATATTAATACAATTTGAATAAATAAGAGTTATGGTTCCAGTTACGGTCTATCGATGAAAAAAATTGTATAACAGTTTAAAATCCAATATATTTAAAATCCAACATATTTAAATGACTCCACAAATGTGTTCAATTTACAACAAGAGCAAAGAATCAAGAGATCGAGACCGAGAGTTTTAGAGTTATTGAATGAGAAATGAATGAGAAAGCTTTTAAAACTCATGGTGAATATTAATTTGAATCTCACATTGGAGGATGAGGAGAAAACATAGATGTATGAGAGAGTGAAGGCATGAGTGAAAAGTGTCAAAAGTATCTTGGGAACATGAAAAGAAAATGTAATAATGTGCATAAAGTAGTAGTACTTAATGTATTATGAGTTGTTTTTAAGACTTTGTGCATAAATGTATAGTACTTTATGTATTAAAAATTGTTTTTAAGACTTTCGATAAATTTGCTTTATAAGGTAGTATATATATATATATATATATAGGGGCCTAATCAAATGAGAACTAATTAGTTTGTGGTAACTGTGAGAACCAATATTAGCCACAAATCAATAGATAAATTAGGAAATTTATAATTTTGGCAATTTTGAATTAAAATATTAATGCAAGGATATTTTTGGTATTTTAAAACTTTCYTCCCTCYTCTCTTCTCTCTCCGGCCACCGTCCTCCGGGCTCCATCCTCCGGTATTACTACAATGGTATCACAATGCATCATATATGTGCTTGGATATCACATTGATGTCGTTTGTGTGGCCGATCGAAAATGTAACACAGTGGTATCACTATGCATCTTATATATGATTAGGTATCACAATGTATTTTTTGTTTAACAGAGTCAATATTTTTAGGTATCA